CACGTGACGTAGGTTAATTACTAAAACGTTAATGTTGTAATTTGGAAAACAGGGTTTCATTAATAATCTCGACGCTCCCGAATCCAATAGTCCGAAAAACGCATGTGGACTTCAACATAAGATCTGAAATCCTGGTCCACATGTTGCAATGTAATTTTCGTTTAGCCGAGGCATGATGAAGCGACGTCGTCTTGGTAAATCAAGCTCGATCATGTCCCTCTGGGTCCGTTTCCCGAACAAAACCCACACAAACGTGCAGTAACGCTCGTAGCGCCACACTTGTAGCAAAAAAGCTGTCGCGGTTCTGGGCATTCAGCTCGATGGTGACCTAACCGTTGACAGTTCCAACACGCCGATTGATTATTCTCGACAACATGATTTGTGAGTCCCGGTCCAAGTAAAGGGGATTGAGTTCGGTCTTGCTTTCGTCAATAACTCGTCGATAGTCGTTGGTACACTTGGCCTTAACTTCGATAAGTAAAACTGAGTGAGATTCCGGCGAATTATTCAGTGGGTGGAAGAAAAGCCGGTTCTCTCAAATAAGAGGCATCCGTTTCGGTTATACGCATGCCGGCGAAGACGTCACGTTTCTGGAAATGACCGTCGCTTATCTTCAATTGTAGATATATAACGATTTTGGCTAACGCTGAGTCACGCGTTAGTCAGAATGTGACGACAATCAAATCTCGGGCATTTTTTTGGGTTTATAGTCCCCTATTTTGGCCCCAGCACGTACAAGCACTCCGTGTCATTTACCTGACAAGTTATTAATTGGGTAAACACGTTACAAATCTGATAATCTAATCGTGCCCTTGGGGAAAGAGCTCGTATTTGTACGTGCACTATAATCACTTGATTTATTTACTGCTGTGACAAGATTGGATAATGACGTTCCAGGTATTGAGCAGGGGGCGTTGAACGAAACGTTTCGATAATGAAATTTGCTTTTATTTTTGTTTTTGGAAAGACCTCGTAACTCATTACCTAATTATGCACGTGAACAAATCTCGTTTTCCCATGGTAACCTTTGGAGTGTGTATCGCAAAACTGCAATTATTGTTACAGTCGGCTAGTGAACTTCTCTTGGCCAATATCGCAGGAATTTGAGTGAAATGTGTACTTGATCGAATCCAAATAATATAAATGTAGGTTAAAGTGAAGGTCGTATACGTAACCATTATAGATCAGGTTAGTTAATTTTCCGTTACTTGTTCGTTTTCCATTCAAGCATCACTTTTCGCTTACATATCGTACGTCGCACCCATCTAAAACTTGTACGATGATACTCTAAAATGTCCCATGACCATGAATGGTTTTTGCCAAAGTTTCCATTTCCTTAAGTTGTTTTCTGTTAATTTAAACCACGTGCATCTTTCTATTTTCACTTACTTTGACTTTTGGCTTATCTTGTATTTAACCTTTTTTTTTCGTTTCATTAATTGATCTCCGTTTATTGTTGTTTAAGAATGATGTGTAACGGTTGTTATAATAAGGGGTTGGCCACCCACAGTAGATTTTGCGGGCGCTGCTTTGGTTCAAACCCACCTCATAAACGGCCAGCTAGCTCAGGGTTAAAATATTTCAAAGCGTGAGATCTTCCACAGTGGTTGATTCGTTTAGCTTCAGAGTATAAATAATCTTCGGTACTTCTTTGCATCTTACCATTGGTTGAGCGCCACCCAGTTTATTAAACTTAACTTTCCCTGTAAAAGAACTAGGAAAATGCAAGGAAAGTAACAATTCAATTTAACGAAGGAAATGCTGGTTTATTCTTCTTCTCACAAACCTCTAATCCACGAGAGGATTAATCCGAAAAGCAGACGTTACAACAAATACCTAATTCACAAATTTCGACCTTCAATTGGCAGAAGTCTAAAAGAATGCTCCCTCGCAGATGCATTGCATCGGCAGGTGGTGCCCCTTCCAAAACGCTTCAGGCGTTACGACTTTCCGACAAGTAAAACTACCGTGAAACTGTAATAATGAGTTCTCCGTAATGGAGAAAATAAATCGTTACACCCTAACAATGAACAATTATGGCAATTTTTTGACAAAAAATCTCTCACTGATCTGACTACAAGCTTAAGTGTAAACTTATTTTAATGCAGAAGTTAACCGCACAGAATTGCTTAGTTGCCAATTTATTTAAAGTTTTGCGGGATCCCGCAAATACCGAGATCCCGCGGGATTAACATCTAGCAATCCCGCAAATATCGGGATTGAGATTTTGCTGCGGGATTGCATTCCCTAGTCACATTCTATAAGAAAATTTTTTTTCCGGATCGATCTGAGACAATTTTTTCTTCGGGGCTCAAAAAAAGGCTGTGTATAATCTTCCTTTTTTACCAAAAATCGACTGTACCAAAATTTCTCGGGAAAACATTTTTTCTTATTAATTTTGGTGCGTAGAATCCGAGGTAGAATCCAAAACAAATCGTACTTTTTCGATTAGACCTCTCAATCAAAAGTTATAGACTAGAAACCAATTTCGAAAAAAAATTCAAAGGGCTGTAACTTTGGAACTAGTAACCCAATCTTGGAACTGTTTGAAATTATGGATTCTACAGGCCACACTCTATCAGAAAATTTTTTTTCCGGATCGATCTGAGACAATTTTTTTTCGGGGCTCAAAAAAAGGCAGTGTATTACCTTCCTTTTTTTACCAAAAATCGACTGCACCAAAATTTCTCGGGAAAACACTTTTTCTTATTAATTTTGGTGCGTAGAATCCAAAACAAATCGTACTTTTTCGATTAGACCTCTCGATCAAAAGTTATAGACTAGAAACCAATTTCGAAAAAAAATTCAAAGGGTTGTAACTTTTGAACTAGTAGCCCAATCTGGGAACTGTTTGAAGTTATGGATTCTACAGGTCACATTTAGGGAATGCAATGCCGGGATTGATTCTGTTCCGGTAAAAAAGACTGTAGTACTGTAGCTTTTATCTATCGGAAAACGTTCGCTAGTGATTAACGTTGAGTTTCCGCTAACTTTCTCCCTCACAATATACATATACTTTCATTTAAATAATATTCTTACTCCATCTACGCATTTTCTCTGTTCACTTTAGTAGTTAGTTAGCATTTATTTACAATAGTTCTTTATTTTCGCCGCTAGAGGCCATCCGAGAGTTATAAGTTTAATTCACCTTACTTCATTCTTTCCCCGCTAGAGGTAGTGCAGATGTTTCCGTGACCTTGTTTTCTGCTGCTTACGGGTATTTGCTACGCTTCATAGATACGCTTTTTGCGGATATATTTACAAGTTTGCGTATGAACTTTGACTTTGAATAATAATTTTTTAGGTCTAGCCTTGTCTTCATTATCGTCTACCTGATGATTACTACTATCTACATCGATATTCCTTGGTGAAAATTGCAGAATTTTGAATTTCTCAGAATTGCGCAAGGGAAAATTCCCCCACCATCTTTTGCTTACGTACATTTTTGTCACTCCGATGTATTCTTCACATTCGTTTGTTATACGAAGTATGTTAGTTACCGTTGCTTTGTAAATTAGTATTTGAAGTTACCTGTTCCGAAACAGATATCTACAATGTTTATTTACGTTACTTGTGTCATTGCAAAGAATTTGTTCATTCTGTGTTTTGAATTACATAATTAGATCATTGTTGTTTTTTAGAAATTTAGTTATCTGTGCATCGTAAAGTAGTTTTTTCGAAGTTCTTATAAATTCGATTTGTACGGACGATTCGTTGTCGAGTCAAAATTTTGCTTCCATTTATTTAACGTAAATTGAATTATTGGTTCTTATTGAGTGTTTACTATGGTTTTCGCATTAGTGTCGAACGCTGGACATTGCTATCGCAATATTTATTTTTTGCCCTATTCACTATCCCTCTTGTGTGTTGTTTGTGTTGTTATCTGTTGTAGATAAGGCAGAAAAGCGCCCTTCTGAGCTCAAAAGGCTGTTTAAAAGGTTGGATTGTAATTTCCATATTTGTTTGATTCTCATTTAACCACTATAGCTCCGTTCTTTTCTGCACAAGCCTGTTTTTGACATTGATAATTTTCCAGACTACGATTTCATCCCCTTTATTTTTTGCAAAGATAGTCAGTCATACAAATTCTGTAGAAAATATCCCTAATGAAATCTCGAAAGAATCAACCCCATCTGTTACTCGCGGGGTGGACGTAGCGTAATTGTTTTTCGTTAGCGCATTTTTTAAGAATTAAAAAAGTGTGCTATTGTTGGCGTGTTGTCCGTGCGTCCGTCCGGACCCACTTCTGCCGCTGTCTAAAAGCCCCCCCCCCCCAACGAATTATTTCCTGAGATGCTGTCTTTGAAAGTGCATCACTTTGACATACGACAACCAATTGGTCGCATACGCATGCCTTTAGTGGTGTCAATTTAAACTTTAGAAAATGGGGAGAGGGGGGGTACATGTTCTACCCTTCATGGGGCCATGGGGGGAGTTAAAAATTATTTTTACCTCTCATTGTATTCTAATTAAAGGTCTCAACGAAAGGAACAGTTTTCTACCAACTACTGCCCTTTTTTCGGTCCTCTTATCAAAGTACGAGGGGGAGGGAGTGGAACAAGTTTTATCCTTCATGGTACTCTAATGAAAGGTCTCAACGAAAGGAATTAATTTCTACCAACCATAGCCCTCCTCCTCGACCTCTTATCGTGATCGGGTATATTCCCTTATACCTTAAGAACGGATTGTCGGAGGGGGTACTCACAAAGGGCGATTGAGACGTCTGCAAGAAATATATCCATTGGTGATGTCAAAACAAAAGCTATTTCGGTTAAAACAAATGCGCTTTATCTGCACAACAGTTGTGCACAATTTATATTTGTTTAATTGTAGTTTGAGAAATTTTCAAAATTTCAAGAAACCCGTTCTTTTTACTGTGCGGATGCTTTTTAGAAGCAAGACGGCTTTTGAAGGTGCAGGGTCGGAAATTTGGAAGGACCAGGGACCAAGTTCGGATTTTGCCCTCGGACAAAAATCACAATATAAAAAAAGAAGTCATGGGTTCACATGAGTGTTTATATAAGTTTATATAAGCCATTTTTTTTAGTTCTTATATTAAGTACCTATTTGTTACATTGCTTGTAAGTGTAAATCCAATAAATTAATTTTCAAAGATATTATCTGTTTGTCAACGTATACACTAACGTTACGCAACAGTGAGAGGCTCTCTCATCAGCTAGTAACCACGTTCAAATGCAAGGAGCGAGTAACGCAGAATTAAAGTTTATTAACATTTTCAACATGCTTCATTTGCAAAATTTGTATACATTATACTCTGAAATGTCAGTCACTGACATTGACACTCCAGAGTTTTGGAAAATTTTATTTTATTGACACAATCCGACGAACATTTCCCTAACTTGTTTTCTGTTGATTTTTCCTGTGGGCGTTAACGGCAGCTGGGAGACGAACTTGACTCCTCCCCGAAGCCGTTGGCGGTCGTTGACTCTCCTCTCCAAAAATTGTTGGATCTCCACCTCGCTGGTTTTTTCGCCCGAAGGTTTTAGTACTACCACGGCCATGGGATGGTGACTGTCCATCTCGTGCGGAACACCAATAACCGCCGCGCCTGCGATGGCCGGATGACTGGTCAGGATTTCCTCAAGAACTGTGGGTACGATATGCCATTCGCGGAATTTAAACATTTCCTTGACACGTCCGACGATGTAAAAGCAGAGGTCCTGGTCGTAGTAGGCGAGGTCGCCAGTCTTCAGCCAGCCGTCATCGTCCCATATTCCGGACGAGTCAGTGTTGTGGTAGCCGCTGGTTTGAAATTCGGTTTTAACGCGAAGTTCGCCGGGAGTGTCCGGGCCCAGCACTTTGCCAGTTTCGATGTCTGCAATTTTGTACCACATTCCCGGTACGGCACAGCCGACGGACGACGGCTTCTCACCAATAAATCTGAGGTGTTTCGGATTTGTGGGATTGAAGTATGTGATCGCCGTCATAATTTCGGTTTGGCCATAACTTTGCCAAACAAGAGCGTTTGGGAACATCGCTCTCATTGCTAGCAGTTTCTCTTTGGGCGGTGCATCGCCGCCTATGATAATTGCGGCTAAGCTGTCAGTTCGAACGTTTTCGGGTCGCCCTTGGTCCAGCATGATCAGCATTTGTGTCACGTTCAGAAATGCGAATGTAAGCTGAAAGATACTGTCAATTTCCATTCTGTGGGTGATCTACGTACCGGATAGTCAAACATCTGCCATGCATTATCAGGGTCATATCTGGGGTAGACTAACCTGGTCACTCCCTCCACTATGCTATAATGTAAATTTAATATAAACACGCTCCAGTAAGGTGATGCGAATGCGACTATCAAAGCCGAAGGCTCTTGTTCACTTCTGGAAAGGTATTCTAACCTCACTCCCGCGATTAAATAATTAAAATTACCCTTTTTTGCTCGTATGGTGCATCAGAGAGTAGTGATTGTGGCATATACCCTTGGGATGGCCCGTTGTTCCGCTGCTGAAGAATATGAAAACCGTCTCGTGCAGATTTTCGGCTGTTCTCGGTTTAAAGTCTTCCACTCGCGAATGACCCTCGAGTAGGTCGGAGAAGGAAAGGTGCCGCGAATGACCACCGAAGACCACGATTGTCGCCTTCGAGCCAATTGCCTCCAGGACACCTTCGACTTTTTCCACGCAATCTTCTTGCACAAATATCACTTTGGGCATCACTTGCCTTAGCAGGAAGGCTATTTCGTTGGATGTTAAGGTGGGATCGACCCCCGAGACGACGGCGCCGAGAAAAAGTGAGGCGATCTGCGGCACGCAGCTGTCGAGATGGTTGAAGGTGCAGAGCGACACGATGTCTCCCGGTTTGAGGCCCATAGCTCTCATCGCCAGAGTTACTCGAATGCATCGGTCGAGGAGCTGCCCGAACGTGTCTCTTTGACCGGTGTGACCTTCAATCTGTAAGAAACATTACAGTGAGGTATTATGAAGAAAAATCGCCCACCTGTGCTATTTTATCCCTGTTATTCCGCAAGCACTCGAAATACAACCAGCCCAAGCCTTTAGCATATGGGGTGAAGTTCAACTTTGGCGTTTTTATTACGTTTTGTTCTGGATTGAGGTCCATGCCGTTTGCGTGTCGTCGTACCGAATCGCACTCAATATAAGAGTCTTGGTAACTATCTTATCATTGTACAAATCGATTTTCTCCTCCGTATTTGATTATTGGCAAATCACGAATCGATACGATTGGCCGCCTAAAGGTGAATGTTTTTAGTTTAGTATAATATACCACCCAGACCCCCCCGGTTTTTGTAATTTTCCTCAAAATGTTTAATATACTTACCACTTTATATCATCGTTTTCGAAATGGTCTTTATGTCTAAATGTTTTGGGGGAGAATTAATCGCCGGGAGGGATATGGAATCCCTCCCCAGTTTTTACCTCAAGAACATAAAACATCTCTCTTTCTCCCGGGGGGATTCCATATCCCCCCAGACCCCCTGCTGATATGTTTTCCCCCACAACGTTCATTCATAAGAACCATTTCCAAAAATCATGATGTAAAGTGGTAAGGATACTACACATTTTGAGGAAAAATATAGAACCGGGGGGTCTGGGGGGTATGGAATACCCCCCAGCAGAAAGAGACAGACTCAACGATAATTTCGAAAAATAAAACCGGGGGGGTATATATCCTTCAGGAGAAATAGACAACTTCAGTGATTATTTCGTTAGAAACTCGTCACGCATTGGAGAACATTAAACATCTATCTTTTTCCTGGGGGGTATTCCATACCCCCCAGACCCCCCGGTTGTACATTATTATCCAGAATGTTTTAGTATCCTTACCACGTAAAATCATCATGTTTGAAAAGGATCTTTATGTTTGAACGTTTTGGGGGAGAATTAATCGCCGGGGGGGGATATGGAATCCCTCCCCAGTTTTCATCTCAAGAACATTAAACATCTCTCTTTCTCCCGGGGGGATTCCGTATCCCCCCAGACCCCCTGCTGATATGTTTTCCCCCACAACGTTCATTCATAAGAACCATTTCCAAAAATCATGATGTAAAGTGGTAAGGATACTACACATTTTGAGGAAAACATAGAACCGGGGGGTCTGGGGGGTATGGAATACCCCCCAGCAGAAAGAGACAGACTCAATGATAATTTCGAAAAATAAAACCGGGGGGTATATACACTTCAGGAGAAATAGACAAATTTAGTGATCATTTCGTTAGAAACTCGTCACGCATCGGAGAACCCCCCAGACCCCCCGGTTATACATTATTACCTAGAATGTTTTAGTATCCTTACCACTTAAAATCATCATGTTTGTAAATGATCCTTATGTTTGAACGTTTTGGGGGAGAATTAATCGCCGGGGGGGATATGAAATCCCTCACCAGTTTTTTTCTCAAGAACATTAAACATCTCTCTTTCTCTCGTAATAAGGAGATATGCGGGATTTTTAGATTCAAATTAACAACACAATTGAGCAATATTAACGAGCCGAGTAGCCGAGTGGGTACAATCTTCACTTGATGCGATACCGTTGTCTTTTGGTCTTGAACGAAACTCTTAACATTGTACTTAGATACGAAAACATAAACATTTCCAATGTAAAAAATTGTTCACCAATAGCTACATAAACAGTTTCTCAAAGGCCAACCTTAAGCATTACCCCCCTGACATGCACACAGCTGTGTAGGATTTATATAATGCAGCTTCCAAACAAAACATGTTAAACTCTTGCATTACAAAAAATTAAATCTTCCGTATCTTGGGGCTGCCAAGAAAAAAATTAGCCTTATAATAAGGAAGTGCGACTTTTACTGACGATCACAGGTGGTAGGCCGATACAATGAACCACTTTGCACGAGGACTTGCTTGACGTTCTTCGATTCTCCGAAATAAATGACCCACGTACTTGATTTCCTTGCAGCAGAAGTGGCGTTTGGTTCGGTTGACACGAAGTGCAAATGCCTTGAGGACGATCTGCAGGATCAGGTCGTCCAAATAGGCGAGTAGGTGAATATTGTGCTTAGCCTGGTGTCTTCTAGACCTGTCCATAAGTCTCTGGAAGGTCGAAGGTGCGTTCCGTAACTCGAAAGGCATCCGACGGAAACGGAGTGGGTAACGAATACTGTCTTAGCTTGCTCTTTTTCGTGGATTTTGATCTATCAGTATTACCAGAGTTATCAGACAAGTTGTGTTTTCCGGGGTCACCCGAAGAACAACGTGTCTCTCATGTTAAAACGTGAGAAGGTAATCGGCAATGCAAAAACGGTTATAGGCACGAGGGAGAAAGATGTGACGACCAAGACGGCACGTCACCAACACGAGCCGTTAAAAAGGCGAAGGCAACGTACGGATTGGTTTCGTCAAATCGTCCACATTTACTTAAAACCCTCTTTATTTGAAAAATACAAACTATGTATATAATTCTCTTAGTTTTTTTCGGTCAATTTTCCCAGTTGCTGTTAAGGGTAACTTGGAAACAAACCTGATTCCACCCCTTAGACGCTGTCGATCGTTTATTTTCCCCACCAAAAAGCTATCGATGTCATCTGCCTTAGTGTTTTGGTACGATTCCTTTAACACCACCAGAGCCATGGGCCGGTGACCGTCCATTTCGTGCGGAACACCTATAACGGCGACGCTTTCGACGGCCTTATGGGTCGCTAAGATGTCCTCGAGAACGGTAGGTATGATGTGCCACTCTCGAAACTTGAACATCTCCTTCACACGCCCAACGATGTAGAAGCAGCGATCTTGGTCGTAGTAAGCCAGGTCGCCGGTTTTCATCCATCCGTCGGCGTCCCAAATGCCCGACGAGTCCCGACCGAGGTATCCGCTGGTTTGGAATTGGGTCTTCACGCGCAGCTCGCCGCGTTGATTCGGGCCGAGGACCGCCGAGGTGTCCACTTCGACAATTTTGTACGCCATCCCATACAGTCCGGTGCCGACGGAGTTTGGCTTTCCCCTCATGAGCTCCAGGTCTCGTTCGTTACATACATCGAATATTGTAGTCGCCATCGGAATCTCCGTTTGGCCGTAGATCAAGTGCACTCGGGCATTTGGAAACATGTCCCTCATCTTGAGCACCTTTTCTTCGCTTAGCACGTCACCAAAGATGAGAAGGTCATTTAAGGCGTCGTCGTTGAGGTCGGCAGCCTTGCCCTGTCTTATCATAAGCGACGCTTGCGCCGCGTTAATGAAGGCGACCGTGACCTAAACAAAGCGGGTAATTTTCGTGGCTGGCAACCCAGACCCGCATACCTGGTAATCGAACATTTCCCACGCTCTCTCCTGCACAAACTTCGGGTACACGAGGCGAGTTATGCACTTCGTAATACTCAAAGTTTGGAGGCACATGGACGCGGGCCAGTACGGTGTCGCGTAGGAGGCCATCAGGTCGAATTCGGTTTTCAAACCCTCACTACAAGGAGTGAACGGATTAGGTCGAAGAGTACTGTAAACTTACGTTTTGTTGACCATCTGACATAGGATGGAGCGGTGACTTAAACAAATTCCTTTGGGATAGCCAGTGGTGCCACTGCTGAAGACCACTACCGCCGTTTGGCTCAACGTTTCGACAGGGTGCGGCGCGAAGTGCTCTTCTTTGGGATTTGGTGGTAGTACATCATCGACCCCAAACACGATAACCTCGGCATCACTGTCGATTGCCCGCAGGGCTTTTTGTATATTTTCGAGCCATTCTTGTTCGACGAACATTATTTTTGGCATCACCTGCTTGAGTAGAAATATGGTTTCGTTCAGTGACATGCTTGGTTCTAGATGAGACACTGTTGCGCCAACAAACATGGAGGCTATCAACGGAATACCGCTGTTCAAGTGGTGATTCGTGCATGCGGTCACCATTTCTCCAGGCCGTAGACCTCTCTCTTGTAAATTCAAAGCCGTACGTACAGAGCGTTCCAGTAGATCTCCGAAGGTATCCGTTTTTCCGGTCAGTCCCTCTATCTGGTTACGTTTTAGTTGGATTCAAATGGAATTGACTCACCTGCGCCACTTTATCTTTGTATTTCAGCATGGACTCGTAGTACACGTATCCCAAACCACGCGGATCGGGATCGTAATTCAGCTCAGGCATTTTTACTATTTTCTCGTCTTCCATGCTCTCTGTAATTTCACTTTCTGGTATGTGAATCGGTATTGTTATACGGTGTACTAATTATTCTTTATCAACTATTCATATACATATCATTTTTGGTCTTAATTGGAGAATACGAGTCACCATGTACTGTCTAGTTAATTAAAACCTTCGGTTCTTAACTGGGGATTAATGTTATCAAGTTTTGCGGTCAGCTTTCCAAGTCAGTATCACACTTGGGCGCTTCCAATACCGCCATTCTCAAATTTTGATACTTTGGCATATGCTTCTCTCCCGGGGTTCCATTAGTTTCCTTCTTTCTTGGATCTCCCTTCCTTAATGTTGTTCTCTCTCTGCCTTCTCCTCTCCATGGCTGCTTGCGCCTTATGTCTAATTCTTCCTCGACCTCCAGTACTCGTCTGCTTTCTTTCTTCATTGTTTGTCTCTGCTCCACTCTTCCCGTCTCTCTCTGGGAATTGCCGAGGCCGCCACCCTTTGGTCAATAGTGATGTTCCATGTGAAGCAGGGCCGGCCTACTTTCCACTCCGAGGCACGTAGATTCTTGGCCACCTGCAGGATATGGTGCTATCGCGAAGAGCCTTGGGGAGAGCGAACATCCCCGCTTGATTCCTCTGGTTTTCATTTGGTGCTCGGTCTTCGAGTCGGTCTTCTTCCCAAACCATTGTGTACTGGTACTCTCTTAGGTGCGCGTTTATAATTCTATTGGTTAGGAATTTGGGCAGCCCCAGCAGCGTCAGAGAAGTGGCTATTGGTTCATGCTCCACTTGGTCGAAGGCCTTCGCCAGGTATATTCCACACTACATTGTGAGATTCTCCTGTAATCGTCTGTTCCTGGTGGTGACCTTACTTTTGGGATGGGGATCTGCACTGTCTGCTGCCGTTCTTTGGGGACCAAGTTCCTGAATTAATTCATGTAGGTCCTTTATTATCCATTCTGATGCGTATTGTAGAAATTCGGCCTGGACCCTATCCTGCCCTGGCATTTTCCCCTTTTCCAGTGGCGGGAGTGGCGAGTAAGCGTTCTCCTCCATTAGCCGGACCGAGGCCTACGATACTTACAGGCCGAAGCGTTCGAAAAAGTCACGTGACCTTAGGAGTCAGTTCAGGACACATAGTTATTTATGCATCAAGGGCATTAATACGATATTTATACCGAGGGCCTCCGGCCCGAGGGATTCTAAGTCACCCGAGGGTTAAATATCGAGTAATGCCTGAGGTGCATACAAAATTTTATTTTTCATCCTTCCAAATAATGCATTTGCAATAGACTAATGTAATGATTATTGTTTGACCAACATACGAATCAAGTAGCATCTTTTTTAATACATAATATATCTCCGTCAATATACATGGTGGTGACTTGCGTAACGCATCATGGGGATTTCACTGTAAAATTCATTACATGCGATTATTGGCTCCCCAAATTATTTTAGAGCAAAAATGTATTAAGGTTTTTTGTAGAAAAAATTTTTTTAAGCCAATCAACCGTATTAGTTTTCATTTTTTTGCATAATAAAGACGGAAAATTGGAAATATAAAACCCCTATCTTTTTCAATAATCTGCGATGCCGTGGAATTCCTTCTGAAAAACGTTTTTGCGTCCTTTGGCCACAATTCATTCGATATATTATGTGATACAATTGTACCAACAACAAAAAAGTTTCTCGCGTGGCGAATTCTCTGCGCGGATAATTAATGCGCGATTTTGTAGGGCCTGTTAAATCTACGATAGCAGATAAGGCATTATATACGCATAATTGAAGGCGCATATTACTCTAGTGTAAGACATCGAAAGAATTACAATGATATCGTTCCTAGAAACAGAAATATGGCGGTGGAAATACAGAAAAATACGAATTTACTATCGTTATTTTATCTTCAAAGACTTTAAATCTTAAAATTAACTATTTCCAGTGTTACTAAAAATTAACAAACACCATAATTGAATTGTCTGTACCATTGACCAGCTCTCATTGCTCTATCTTAAACGGATCCAGAAAAAAAATAAATAAATAGTTGAGTCGCGCACGGATTGTCCATAAGCCGAAATGTATTTTACCCAAAATCGCCCTGAAACCTTCATTTTCATGCCTACTTTCTGTCAAGAAATTTGAGTTTCCCTGACAGAGGCAGTTTCCCGCCGCTTGTCACTACCGGCCGCACCGTCACTTTACCGGCTGCATTTGTGACATTTCCAAATGTCCATAATGACTCCTGTCATCACTGACAGATTGACATTAATCAAAAGTTCTATATAAAAATTGAAATGTTATATTAAAATACGATTTCGGGTAAAATTTAATACAAAACTCGTCAGTAAAATAACATTACCTGACTCGGAAATTAAAGTACTCGGCCCCAACTCGCACTACAATATTTCCTCGCCAGTAATGGTTCATTTTCCTGACTTTTATGTAAATATCTAATAATGTGCCCCGAACTGACTCCTAAGGTCACGTATCTTTTTCGAGCGCTCCGGCCTTTAAGTGTCGTAGGCCTCGGTTGGACCTGTGCTTCTTGTTCCTCCTTCAGAAGCTTCTCCCATGCTGTTTTATGGTACATATTTTTTGGTTCCCTCTTGTTGCCTCCTTATGTTTGTTTTATGTGCTTATACATTTGCGCATTCCTCTCCATTGGGTTAAGCTTGGCGGTGTTCTCTGCAAACTCGGGGAATTTCTTGATCTCATGCTGTTCAAAGGCTCTGTTTTCCTCCTTTCTGGCTTCCTTAGTTCTTTGCTTCAGGTTTGTGTGGGTTTTGCCCAAACCTCTTCAATGCTCTTCTGTGGTTGTCCATGGCTTGCTTCCTGTTCGGTTTATGTCCCCCAAGTGTTTTCCCTGCTGTTCCCTTGAGCGTTTCGGCGATCCTGTTCCAAGATGGTCTCCCTTCCCCCTTTTTGTCCCTGATCTCGTCCTGCTTCTTTCACACTCCTCCCCTGTCAGAAGTTTCACATCACACCGTTCATTTCTCCCGCTTTGCTCTCTGTCCTTTCCTTTTCTTCTTCGCCCCCCCCCCCCTCCCCCCACCTACTTTCCCCCTTACCATTTTGTGGATCCTACTGTTCTAACCACTACTGTGCTCGTGATGCTTTTTTTCTTAGATTTGATCCATACTATTTGGTCGGTCTGTGATTCAGAGTTCCTTCTTCTTCATGTACAACCCCCCCTCCCCTCGCCCACACATGGTAATTTTTAAAATGTTTACAGTTGCACTCTGTGTCTGGATGTCTGTATGAAATGATTTTAATCTAGTTCTGCGCATGATCGGTTTTACGCCGATCACCGGCACCAAAACGGTACCGCGCGAAGTCGCATCCCCGCTCGCACCAAACGTGCATGGGACCTAATGCACACATTTGCATATCGCTTCTCATAACCCAATTATAAATGCTACGCGTCATTGTCGTTTATCTTATCTAAACGCTAATATTGCAGGCCGTCTCACTCAATCGCTACTTACACAACTTTCGACATCCACTAATGTTGTAAATAAATGGATGATGCAAGCGTAAGTATTCTCGTCTACGTATCGATTTTGTGACGTCGCGCATGACAAGGGGGTGTGTTTTGTAATGGAGCGTTCGCATTGTAAATTTGCGGCTCGCGTAACGTGGGACTGTTACGTGCACCTCATCATGTAGATCTTTTTTTTGCTTACAGTACAGCAACGGATCCGGAATATCGTCTGTGACATCGGATGACAGCGACATGATTGATATTACGACATCGACGGCTGCCGGAGACAGGAATGCGGCAACTAGGTCACAAGACGATGACGATGGCAATTTGCAGTGTGAGTATTCGCCCTTTTCCCTTATCATACGGCGTAACCAAGCAACAGGTTAGCGTCCTGGTTATCTATAAGCATTGCATATCGTTCAACCTATTGACATATATTAACAGTTGTTTTGTTTCAGACTCGGTGGGATTCAGTAATATGCTCGGTGAGTTCGCAAGCTATTGCGCTGTTGTCGTGCAATTTCCTTTTCAGAATCCGGCGATATACCAGGAATCGGCCAGTACGATGACTTCCACACGATCGACTGGCAACGGGACATTGCTCGCGATCGCATGCGACACCGGTACATCGTGAAGAAGAAGCAGGATTCCATATGGACGCTGCTTGCCGGAGCGCACGACGCGTGGTCCGGGTGGCTCTGTGTGCTGTTAGTGGGCCTGGCGACCGGCGCCGTCGCCGGCGTCATAGACATCGGTGCCACGTGGATGACCGACTTGAAGTTTGGCATTTGCCCGCAGGCCTTCTGGCTGAATCAGGAGCATTGCTGTTGGTCGCCGAGCGAGGCTGATCTCGACTCGGGAAACTGTTCACAGGTAACCTCCATTTAAACATTGACATATTGCTAACGAGGCTCTTCGTAGTGGAAGACATGGGCCGAAATTCTGGGACACTCGTCGAAAGGAGCGGGGGCGTATATTATTTCCTACCTATTTTACATAGTTTGGGCACTACTGTTCGCGGCGCTCTCGGCTTCCCTCGTGCGCATGTTCGCGCCCTACGCCTGCGGATCAGGTATTCCCGAGGTGTGTAAGTCGCAAAGTTGCTCCGACTGAAACCACTAACTCCGCTCGGCTTGCAGATTAAAACGATACTTAGCGGATTTATCATCAGGGGCTATCTAGGGAAGTGGACCCTGATTATAAAGTGCGTGGGCCTTATATTGTCCGTCTCGGCGGGTCTCAGTCTCGGAAAGGAAGGTCCGATGGTTCACATAGCGTGCGCCATAGGTAAGGGGTGTTACAGATCTGGCTGTGTTTTAAATTTCTGCTCCAGGTAATATTCTGTCGTACCTTTTTCCGAAGTATGGACGAAACGAGGCGAAGAAGCGGGAGATTCTATCCGCTGCGGCTGCCGCCGGCGTGTCGGTGGCCTTTGGTGCACCTATCGGTGGAGTCTTATTCAGTTTGGAAGAAGTAAGTAACTTTACAGGGCGGTCATGATGTCGGATCCCAATTATTGTTCGTTCCTTCAATTGTTTAAAGTATGTGCATTCAGTGCGTAAATTTTAACTCTGAACATTTATGCATATAAAACTCCCGTAAATTAAATGCCCCTTAAATTAGGCAACCAGTCTTGCCTACTTTAATCTCGAATTACTTTTTGAAATGTTTCCAAAGGCATCAAATCTGTGTGTATGTTGGGTTGCATAACTGTCTGGCATTTTTTAAAATTTTTATTTTATTTTTTTTCCATCGGCGGGCCCGATTCTTCAGTATTACTTGTTTTTCATTTCTTATAATTTAATTAACGCCTGCTAATTGGCGAGTAATTAACTTTTATTCGCTTCTTTCGTTCCCGCCGGGACAATCCTACGGCAAGATCCCCCTCTCCGATACCCCCTAGTCTCTTTCTATGCAATGGACACAATTGGGTACACTTCGAGCATGTAGCCATCGTGTGTCTTTCAGCTCCACATTTATAACAGTGACCTGTACGATCTGTGCCTTTACATTACTGCCTCCTATGGTTCCTCTCCAGACACTTACAGCACTTTTCCTTTTTCTCGGCGTGATCATTTGCTACCCTCGACTCCTACCATCCCTATCGAGGTCTTCGCGCTGCTTTTATTTTTTTTCGCCGACTAAGCCTGTCCCTTGTGCTATATTACTAGTTTACCTTTTTAATCCTTTGATTATTGGTTTTAGAAACGTCTATTTTACCTTAAAAAGTCAACGTGTAAGCGCGGTTTCGCCCTTTCATCACCATGCGCACTAAAAAAACATTTCATATAAAATTACACTTTGCAGGTGAGCTACTATTTCCCACTTAAAACCTTGTGGAGATCATTCTTTTGCGCCCTGATCGCCGCCTTCATATTGAGATCAATAAATCCCTTTGGCAACGAGCACTCGGTACTGTTCTTCGTCGAGTACAACAAACCGTGGATATTCTTCGAACTGATACCGTTCATCGCGCTAGGAATAATTGGAGTAAGTACGCCTTAGAGTTTCATACCGTTGCTAATTCCGTTTACAGGGCGTAATCGCCACAATCTTCATAAAGGCGAACTTGTACTGGTGTCGCTATCGTAAGTACTCGAAGTTGGGACAGTATCCCGTCACTGAGGTACTGGTCGTTACGGTAATTACGGCGGTATTCGCCTATCCCAATCCGTACACGCGGATGAATACTAGTCAATTGATTTATTTATTGTTCAGTCAGTGTGGCATATCGAATTCGGACGATTTATGGTGAGTGTATTTGAGTAGTGGCAGTTGATGACGTGACCGTTTGTAGCGATTATAATCGTAATTTTACCGACGTTAATTCCATTGAAATTGCTGCTGCGGGGGATGGCGTATACAGAGCCGTCTGGCTTTTAATCCTCGCGCTAGTTTTCAAATTAATTATGACGATATTTACGTTTGGTATGAAAGTTCCTTGTGGTCTCTTCATTCCGAGCCTGTGCCTCGGCGCCATCGTGGGAAGGCTAGTCGGTATATTCGTGGAGCAAGTCGCGTACACGTACCAGAAGAATTGGATATTTAGCGGGGAGTGCTCGACGGGAGACGACTGCATAACGCCCGGCCTGTACGCGATGGTCGGCGCGGCCGCTGTTTTAGGTGGAGTTACTCGAATGACCGTCTCCCTAGTGGTGATTATGTTCGAGTTAACCGGCGGCGTTAGGTATATCGTGCCGCTGATGGCAGCTGCTATGGCAAGCAAATGGGTGGGAGACGCGCTCGGCCGTCAGGGTATCTACGACGCCCATATTGCTTTGAATGGTTATCCGTTTTTGGATTCCAAAGATGAATTCGCGCATACGTCTTTAGCTGCCGATGTAATGCAACCAAAGTAAGTAAAAGCAGTCATTTTCATAAAATTTACTAACATTATTGTGAACAAGCACACCGGTAAGAAAATAATGTGCGGTTAGTTTATGTAGAACGTTAAAATTCCAAAAAAAAGGTTGTTTTATCTGAAATACATTTACAGTAATTCTTAGATATTTAAGAAGTCTACCATGGAGAGAGTTATTTGAAAAACAGCAGATCAAAAATTTAACTCAAAATTTTCATAAACAAAACTCGTTTTTCCCAATTACATTAAAAAAATGTACTATACTTTGCAGACGTAATGAAACATTGAGCGTAATAACACAGGACTCAATGACATTGGACGACATAGAGCAGCTACTGAAGGAGACCGAGCACAACGGTTACCCGATTGTGGTATCGAGAGAATCGCAGTACCTAGTTGGATTCGTTTTACGTAGGGATCTCAATTTAGCAATAGGTAAATGTTATATTCTCCCAACTATCGTACTGACCACTTATCGTTAGCGAACGAAAAACGGATGGTGGACGGTATCTGTGGTCAATCGCTCGTTTTGTTCACAAGCGGACACACGATCCAGGCGCTCGGACCGCCGCCCCTCAAACTGAAGAGGATATTGGACATGGCGCCTATTACGATTACGGATCAAACGCCGATGGAGACCATAGTCGATATGTTCCGAAAGTTGGGTTTGAGACAAACGCTTGTAACACACAACGGGTAGGTTGTTTTTGACCGTAAAATCGTTACTCTACCTTTTCTTACTGTCTCTGTTGTAAAATTTTGCGCGGACCCGCACTATCTATGTCTGGCAACACTGTCAGAAGAAGCTAGAGTAGAACCATTACCTGTTCAAGGTCATTAAAGTGTTTCGCTTTTACAGTCGTCTACTGGGCGTCATCACGAAGAAAGATGTACTTCGCCACGTCAAACAGATGGATAACGAGGATCCGAGTTCAGTTTTATTTAATTAGAGATTAAAATTTTAATATAATTATACGTATGGCTACGAAGTATAAAGGAGAGTCGTATGATGAGATTAAGTATTTTTTTAAATCACTTTCTATTGCAGCTATTTTAATTGTCTGTTAACGGTTAGAAAGGGTGATCCACGAGATTAATTTTAGTTTGTATTCATTTCGTCTTCCTACAACATATTATAGTCACTGTAAGTATATGTTTTAGCATTATTATTATTATCATCAATTGTGTACACTATGATTAAGTCAAATCAATGCTCATATAATTATTTAATAAAGGTTTTTATAAACAGCAATTACAATAGCGCAATTACTGTTAGGCTGGTAGCAGGATAATAAATACATACCAATAATAAATCGTGTAGACGAACGATGTTTATCACTTATGCCCGGGTTGACAATTTACTGATGTCGTTGATGTCATGTCTTTGTAAATAGTAGTTTTCCACCCCATCATTCTACATTAGCCAACGTAAATTTGGTAAATCTGGCACTTACTTACCCAATAGCAGTCAGTGGGGAAAAATTACAAGCACCGCCATCTATTTTGCAAGTCTCCACTTTCAAATGTCTGTAGCAGTTGACCCGGACTGGATGGTACGAATGGGACTCCTACGTGGTGTTATACTATGGTGGTTCTTTTATGTGTTGGGACGTGAGACACACTTATTACTTACGCACGAGGTTTGGTTCCACGGAGCAAAACCAAACCGAAAGGCCAAGAAAAAAACCTGGCATGACACACATATACAAGAAATAAATCAACTACGATAACAAGATGCAAAAGAGAGATACAAAAATCAAACATCTCAAATTGTACAATAAAAAGCATTACCTAATAATTGATTGACAATGAAACATGATACAGTTAAATCAGACGAATGGTCCAGGAACAAAATAGCTACTACAATATGAGCCTCTGATCTAAATACCAGCCCCCGGACTACAAAAAGACTCCGGACAACTACTGAAATATGACCGATTATCACGGGCCAAATGTCGTCGCATCGCGCCTTTGAAATTGCCGACTTTCAACGGATCGGTCGCGCCCTACCGGCTCTTCACAGGCTCGGTTTAGATACGAAACTTTTTTGGGAAGTGGAAAAATGGATCCGAACCTTTACTGCTTGAGCTCAGAGCTGGGCAGTATTCGATTTTGTAAATACTTTTTAGTATTCAAATCCTTTAAAGTATTCAAATACTTTGTAATTAAATACTTTTATGGAAGCAGTATTTGTTTTTGTAACTCAAATACTTCCACAAATATTTAGTATTCGAATACTTCGCAAAGTATTTGGATACTTCGTAAAGTATTCGAATACTTCGCAAGGTATTTGAATACTTTGAGAAGTATTCGGATACTTCGCATAGTATTTGAATACTTAACCTTCCTTTTTTTTACCAAAAATCGACTACTCCAAAATTTCTCGGGAAAACACTTTTTCTTATTAATTTTGGTGCGTAGAATCCAAAACAATTCGTACTTTTTCGATCAGACTTCTCAATCAAAAGTTATAGACTAGAAACCAATTTCGAAAAGAAAATTCAAAGGGCTGTAACTTTTGAACTAGTAGCCCAATCTTGGAACTGTTTGAAATTATGGATTCTACAGGCCACATTCTATAAGAAAAATTTTTTTCCGGGTCGATCTGAGACAATTTTTTTTCGGGCTCAAAAAAAGGCAGTGTATAACCTTCCTTTTTTACCAAAAATCGACTGCACCAAAATTTCTCGGGAAAACACTTTTTCTTATTAATTTTGGTGCGTAGAATCCAAAACAATTCGTACTTTTTCGATCAGACTTCTCAATCAAAAGTTATAGACTTAGAAACCAATTTCAAAAAAAATTCAAAGGGCTGTAACTTTTGAACTAGTAGCCCAATCTTGGAACTGTTTGAAATTATGGATTCTATAGGCCACATTCTATAAGAAAATTTTTTTCCGGGTCGATATAGAGACAACTTCAGGTGTATCTGTATCTAGTATTCGCTTGTGCTGGACGTAAAAGTATTTAGTATTCAAATACCTTAGATTTGTGTAAAGTATTTACTATTTAGTATTCAAATACTTTTTGAAAGTATTCTGCCCAGCTCTGCTTGAGCTAAATAGTTATGGTAGAAAGTTCTATGGGGACAGTAAGCATGAAGAAGACCCGGAATAGCGTCAAAAGGTAAAAAAAGATCCGAAGGATGCGTGTGAAGAGAGCTCGAAAGGGCGGGTGAATAAGAATTTAGTAGTAATCTGTTTTGTATGCAACATTTTTTATATTTTTGTGCGTTTCAGTCTTTGATTTTGACCTGATTCAACCTGAATGCAGAATCACATATTTGATACCGTTATCCTTTTGTTTGTAATTGTTTACGTTTTTGGTGTAATACTTGCTTAATTTATGTTTATTGATGTTGATTACTTGGTCTTGTATTTTAATATGTGGAAATTACCGATTCGTTTGATGTATTGACTTGTTGTTTGTTACTAACATTTTCTCTGTGAATGAAGCAGTCACGGGAGTGGAACTGTAACCATTTGAGTTACGACACCTAATTCTATGATTGTCTTCGACTTTCAACTGTAGACTCGAAACCCCGGAACCAGGGGCGAGTTATCTATATTGCCGGAGCAAGATTACGTAAATCAAAATCTATGTGTGATATATGAGTTGCGATTCAATAACTTTCACATATTTTTGCTGACAGTTGAATTTGCCTTCAAGGCCATGTAATTTTCCATCTTGCTTTAAACAAAAAGACTTTATTACACCAGAGATGAGTCACATCCTGTACCTTCACCCTTTCCTACCTATTTACTTGACCCATTGTTCCCAAAATTTGTTTTTAACCTTGAGTGTAACCAACATTGTGTATAATGCATTTACTTATCTTTGATGCTTTCGTGGATATACCTACTCTAAAGCCAGGAAGGCTCTAAAGAAGTGCAACAAATGCAAGAGCAGCGGTTTCAAGCCCTTCTGCAGAAGAGCCGGAAATATCCCGTCCGGTCCTGCACTATTAAATGGACTGAACGTGTTGACCATCCCTCGAGGTAACCACCCGCGGAGCTACTTTCCAGTGGTACCATGACCCGGACAGCCTCCGAGGTTATCTAGTCCCCAGAATCTGGATAGTGTGTTTCCAGTGTCTATTTTATACTTTAACAATAGATACAGTATAGGGTCCGCTTCAAAAATATAGGCCAATTTCGCATTTCCTGACCGCGCGCCGTGGAAGATCACGGCCAAGACTATTTTTAGTTCGTTTACACAATCAGATTTTCGAAATTCATATAGATATCCACGATAGCGGCGCGTGCGTTTATATAATTAACAAATACGCACTCTAAATGTCCTAGAGGTAAGCGAGTTTGTGTTCTCCGAGCAAGTTTTCCTCCTTTCCTGCGTTTTGACTGCTTTTTTGGAAGAGGCAACCTTCAACGTCATCGTTAATGGTGAGTTTATTGTTCCACATATTATGCACTTCTGATGATTTGTCATCGAGTATTTTTCGTTTGTAGTGCCACCTATACGTTTGCGTATAAAAAGAATTGTCTGTTATTTATCCATAAACTCCCAAAAACCCAAAGATAATTGGGGGTTACCAAAAAATTGCAAAATTCGTTTCAAAGTTCGTGTAAACATGACTATGCGTATCAGTGTTTGAGTGCGAGATAAACAAAACAAGGAATGACTAAAATAAAATTATACGAACGCCGAACGTTGAACTCTGTCGAGTAGGTATCACCTCTATGCACCTCTCATTAGCGCATACAAGGTACGCTCAGTAACGGGTAACAGTTCGGTTGCTTTGTTTGGTGGTGATAGTTTGTCGATAGGACCAAAAATGGTAGGATCCAATTTGTCTCAAGTGGATGAAAATGATGACTGTTGGAAGTTGTTCCCCACCATGAGTTTTGGAAATAAGGGTCTTTCCTGACTGATGACGTTCGTTTGTGGGGAAATTCTTGAATATCGTGACACTGCCGACCTATTTTTAGAAAATTAAATAGATTGCCGTTTCCATCTATTTTCCCATATTACACCATAGTGGAAATCCGTGCGGACAAAAATAAATTTGAAACAAATGACTTTCTCTAACAACTGTTCAACATCAGGAGCAAAGAAATGAAAAACGTCCTGTGACACAATAAGTAGATCTAAGAATAAGAGCCTCTCGTGATACTTAATAAACGTATCATAAAATCTTCTTGGGGGTATGGAATACACCCAGTTTTACGTATACTTAATCCCCCGATCATACTGGGGAGCATTCAATACCCCCATTCCTCTTGGCTCTATGTTTTTACCCAAAACGAGTATTACTCCCCTTAGTACTTACCCTTTATATTTCGACAAGGGACAATTGAACGTGGGATATGGGATATTGGTTAAGAAAAAAAGATTTGATGATGTATGTATGGAGCACCGGAAAATCTGGGAGGTAGACCTCAATCGCAAACAAACAAACCGCAATACGCTACAATTGATAAACAATGCGCTGTTTCTTTTGCCACTCTTGATCGTAAAATTATTTATTACTTTATATAAATAATTTAATTACGATGGGTACGACCTTGCTTCTTCGCACTTCTTTACAATTTTTCACTCGTATCGATAACACACAAGACAATTTGTCTGCGCGTCTTTCTTTCGCGAGCGAAAGCTCGTGTCTCCTCGTGTACTGGTGTCCAGTTACCTGTTTTTCACTTTCCCGCCGCTTTATTTCTACATATTCGAGCACATACACGCCTTATCTCCACATTCCATGTTAAAAATAACTTTACCAACGATAAAAATATGTATGTTTTTAATTACTGCCTAAACCGGTCATCCGATTGCGATTAAACGTTGGGAAATTGGTTTCTGAAATAGTTATATTTGGCGCACTATCGCAAAGAATGGAACTAATTTTTTTCTACATAACTTTTCAAATGGACCCTATAACACTGATCACTTCTATGACAACTTTAACCTTTTTTAAAACAAAAGGAACGACGAAATCGATGCAACGGTGGTCTCTGCGAATTTGTTTCTGAAACCACGAAGTACGGTTCTCTAGCGTGACCAGAACGCGAATGGCTTAAAAAAGCTGCAGAGATGCCTCCCACTCAATCTTACTTAATTAATGACTGCTTTAATTAAATATCGCCTTACGAATCATTTCCCAGTCTTTTTACAATATGCCAATTTTGCAAGTTGCACGATATTGCTATCATGATGAGTTTGCAAATGTACCAAAAAAGATCTCAGGGTGCTCTTCCGATTTTGATACTCCTTTCAGACATCCTCTTTACAGTTCATGCCAAAGGAGACTATATACCCTGATCCCAGACTGAGATCTCAAATACAGTCTGACTACTAATAAAGGAAATTGATTAGTGAGTAATATTTTTACAGAAATAGAACTCATTTACGTTTACTACGTTTCAAAAAAATACTCGGAATTATATTACCTACCAACATACCTTTTGTATTAGACGACATTACAAAGAGAAATATTCACAATACTTTGCGCTAATTTCCATTGTTAATGAAACGTCAAGGTGAAGAATCCCGATTTTAGCAATTGAAATCGCTCTCCTTCAGAAAGGTACGTGAACAAAATAAAAGTCGGGACATTACTGAAATTGATTCAGTTAAGGTCAAGAATACGTTGCGAATGAAGGGCACCTGCCGCCACTAATCTCACGCGTTTTACTTTTACTCGCGAACATTTCGACCTCTTCTCCAGTTACGCGCGATTCTCGAATATCGTTTCCTCGTACAAGAATGGAAGACCTGGGCGAAAATGGGACCGCGGACCTGCAGGGTTCGCTGCATCTCGCCGAAGCCTTGGCCAAGGTTTCTTTGTGGACATCTTCGGCGGCCAAGCGGAGAATAGCCGCCAGAAGTGCGGAACTTAAGTATGGACAGGTCGATGAGGAGTCCGGCGCTTACGTCCCGCCGAAGCAGCTCTTGATGTACCTCGTAAGGTAACTCATTTTTTTTTACTTTGTCATATCAACAGGAAAAGGACTTTGAATTTATGAATAATGGATCATGGTTATTTACCGATTTATTTTTTGCATGGCAACCGCTTTTGTTATTTTTCGAAATTAGTCGGTAAAAAAAAGTCAAAAAGGTTGTAGTTTGATAACCAATTGCTAAACAATATTTGGTGGCCTTCGAAATTGCCCTCCATAATGAAAAATTTAAGTAAATGGCAAATGCCTGCACTTCCACTTTGTGGTATCCACGTCTTTTCACCAGATTTTAAGAATAGTCGGCCCTACACCACTAATTTCAAATGCAACCGAATTACGAAATTTATCGGCCGGCAAATACTTTTAGCATACTCCCTGCTGCTTCCTTGAGCGTTTAGACGATCCTGTTCCAAGATGGTCTCCCTTCCCCCTTTTTGTTCTTGATCTCGTCCTGCACTCTTCTATACTCCTGTCAGAAGTTTCCCATCCCACTACATTTTCTTCTTCCCCCCCCCCCCTCTACTTTTTTTGTTACCACTTTGTGATCCTACTGTTCTGACCCATACTTCCACTGTGTTCATGATGCTTATTTTTCTTGATTTGGTCCTTACCATGTGGTCGATCTGTGATTCATAGTTTTCTCGGTTAGGATCGGAATTACTCCCCTTTTTAGTAACTTTCTTGTGACTTTTTGCTTTAGGATCGGCGTTACTACCTTTTTAGTAACTTTTCTTGTGACTTTTTGCGTTAAGATCGGCATTACTATTTTTTTAGTAACTTTTCTGTTGACTTTTTGCGTTAGGATCAACATTACTACTTTTTTAGTGACTTTCTGGTGACTTTCTGCGTTAGGATCGGCATTTCTACTTTTTTAGTAACTTTTCTGGTGACTTTTAACGTTAGCATCGGCATTACTAATTTCTTAGTAACTTTTCTAGTGAGGTTTTGCGTTAGGATCGGCATTTCTACCTTTTTTAGTAACTTTTCTGTTGACTTTTTGCGTTAGGATCGGCATTACTACTTTTTTAGTAACTTTTCTAGTGACGTTTTGCGTTAGGATCGGCATTTCTACCTTTTTTAGTAACTTTTCTGTTGACTTTTTGCATTAGGATCGGCATTACTACTTTTTTAGTAACTTTCTGGTGACTTTCTGCGTTAGAATCGGAATTACTACTTCTTTTAGTAACTTTTTTTGTGACTTTTTGCGTTAGGATCAACATTACTACTTTTTTAGTGACTTTCTGGTGGCTTTCTGCGTTAGGATCGGCATTTCTACTTTTTTAGTAACTTTTCTGGTGACTTTTAACGTTAGCATCGGCATTACTAATTTCTTAGTAACTTTTCTAGTGAGGTTTTGCGTTAGGATCGGCATTTCTACCTTTTTTAGTAACTTTTCTGTTGACTTTTTGCGTTAGGATCGGCATTACTACTTTTTTAGTAACATTTCTGGTGACTTTTTGCATTAGGATCGGCATTACTACCTTTTTAGTAACTTTTCTGGTGACTTTTCGCATTAGGATCGGCATTACTACCTTTTTAGTAACTTTTCTGGTGACTTTTTGGGTTAATATCGGCATTACTACCTTTTTAGTAACTTTCTGGTGACTTTTTGCATTAGGATCGGCATTACTACTTTTTTAGTAACTTTTCTGGTGACTTTTTGCATTAGGATCGGCATTACTACCTTTTTAGTAACTTTTCTGGTGACTTTTTGGGTTAATATCGGCATTACTACCTTTTTAGTAACTTTCTGGTGACTTTTTGCATTAGAATCGGCATTACTACTTTTTTAGTAACTTTTCTGGTGACTTTTTGCATTAGGATCGGCATTACTACTTTTTTAGTAACTTTTCTGGTGACTTTTTGGGTTAATATCGGCATTACTACCTTTTTAGTAACTTTCTGGTGACTTTTTGCATTAGGATCGGCATTACTACCTTTTTAGTAACTTTTCTGTTGACTTTTTGCGTTAGGATCAACATTACTACTTTTTTAGTGACTTTCTGGTGACTTTCTGCGTTAGGATCGGCATTTCTACTTTTTTAGTAACTTTTCTGGTGACTTTCTGCGTTAGAATCGGAATTACTACTTTTTTTAGTAACTTTTTTTGTGACTTTTTGCGTTAGGATCAACAGTACTACTTTTTTAGTAACTTTCTGGTGACTTTTTGCGTTACGATCGGCATTACTACTTTTTTTTAGTAACTTTTCTGGTGACTTTTGCGTTAGGATCAACATTACTACTTTTCTTGTGACTTTTTGCATTAGAATCGGCATTACTACTTTTTTAGTAACTTTCTGGTGACTTTTTGCGTTAGGATCGGCATTACTACTTTTTTTAGTAACTTTTCTGGTGACTTTTGCGTTAGGATCAACATTACTACTTTTCTTGTGACTTTTTGCATTAGGATCGGCATTATTGCTTTTTTAGTAACTTATCTGGTGACTTTTTGCGTTAGGATCGGCATTATTGCTTTTTTAGTAAGTTTT